TTACCAGAAAAGGGGGGGGGGAGAAGACAGTAAAGAAACTTGATTCCCCCTCCTGTTTGGCTCTGCATCCTAACTCTGAACAGGATTAGAGGCAGGCTATGAAGAGGGTCAGGGATCTGGAACTCAAACCTACAATGAAAGATTGGAACTGGGTATGTTTAAGCCTGGAGGAAACTGAGGGGAGACTGCACTCTTTAGATACCCAAAGGGCTGTCATCCTGAAGAGGGCAAAGCCTTGTACTCCGTTGCACTAGAAGGCAAAGCTAGATCTAATGGTCCAAGTTACAGGAAGGCACACTTTTGGGGAGTATTAGGAGAAACTAGCCAGTATCAAGAGCAGTTTTGACAACCACCAATTTTTTTGGGGGGGGGGGTTCACTCTTTCTTGAGATCTTCAAGCAGAGAACCATCTGCTGGGGATTTCCTGCATTGAGCAAGAGTTTGGACTAGTTGGCCTACAAGGCTCTTTTCAACCCCAGGATCCTAATTCTGTTGTTACCTCTGTGCAGCAACAGTAGCAGCTGCATCCAATGCAAATTGACGCATCACACTTTCTTCTAGGTACTTCTGCTCCCACTTGGTCATGTCAGCTTCCAGAGCGAGGATCCTCTCCTCCTTTTCACGCAGGAGCTCCATAAGGGAGGTGGCATTGCACTCGGAGACACTGGCGGGCTGAGACGTACCCTGTCGCTAACAGGAGAAGCCAAGAGACAAGCCAGTTAGCCAACTGACTGGTTCCAAGACACAATGCCCACAGAGATGCACAGAACTTCCCTTTGTGGCTTTGATGCTTCTTGGAAGTTAAAGAGTGATTCGCACAGGCAGAAGCTGGCATTTTCAAAGGACACGGCAGTTGGTTGGATGGCTCCATCATACCCCAGGATGGTTTCAGCCTCCAATCTGAAAAGTCCTCTGTGCATCTTGTCATCATGGGCTGAACGTTCTTCTGGCCATGGAATGGACTGACCAGACCACTGCTTAGGTAAGAGGCCAGCAGTAATGCACACTGTAGTTGCTTCATAGCAAAGGCATTTTCAAAACAGCAAAATAGCAAATAGAAGAAAATACTCAAAAAGCCCACGGACTCTTTCCCCCCGACTGGTTTTCATCTTTGCTAAAAGAAGTCATTCACTAGGACCTGCATTTTTAAAGAAGAAACTGCTCGGCTCAGTTCCCTGTACCTGTTGCATCCGGAGGGATTCCAGCTCCCTCTCCAGCCTAGTTCTAAGCCGGTGCTCCAGCTGTTCTCGTTTTTCGCAGGCGGCCTGCAGCTGAGCCAACGCCTGTTGCATCTTCTCCACCTTGTCCACATAAACATGCTTCTTCTTTACCTGAGTCAAAAGAAGAGACCAGATTGTACATTTACCCCTGATGGATCAGGATTTTTTTACATGGCAAAGCAGCCAGTGGCTCTAGCATTTGGTAACCAACCAATTTCTCTGTCTACTCCTAACCAGGGCATGAGGGCAACAGCCTTCTCCTATTGCCCAGCATCTCTCAAAGATATCCTGCCTCTGAATAAGGAGGTTCTATTTACCTAGTGTGAACCAAACATACAAAAACAACCTTGAAGAATGTAGACAAAATCTGTTTTGTTTTGGGTTTTTTGCAAAAATACAGTGATATAATATAAGCTATCATGCAAAGTATGAATAGGGTACAAAGTGTGTAATTACATTAAAAGACACACAATTACAAGTGGGACATAAATCCTGCTAAAATACAGTCTTAAAGGGAACCGAGTCTATAAACAGTCCTCTTATGCTGTAAGAACAGAAAGAACCATTCTCTGTAACAACCAGAGCTAAGTCCCTCAGAGCATGAAGACATCAAGGTTAGTACTACATGACAGGCCTGTTTTGAATCAATATCTTTATCAAGCTGTTAGCTTTCATAAGGCTTGTGGGACTTCCACTAGTTTCCAAGAATTCACAAGAGCATGGCGACAAGCAACCCTAATGACAAGCTTGAGATAGCCACTTTCTGAAAAAATCTAAGCTATTTTCTGTCACTGCATTCTGCAACAGAGAATTCTTTACTTACACATTGAGAGAAAAAGTGCTTTTGTCCGTCCTGAACCTTACACAGTAACACCCCCCCTCCCATATACAAATCTGAGCAAGGGATGAACATGAACCTAAAAAACCTTGTTCAGGTAGCCCCTGAACTGAACACCAAACGGAACTGAGCCAAAAGGCCCCAAATTGAACCAGCAAGTTTGGTTCCCCCTTTCTCCTGGCCGCAGCAAGCTGTGGCCAGGAGAAGGGGGGATCACCCATCTGTTTCGCTTCCCCGCACCAAAGCTTGGGGGGGGGGGGAGCAAAACAGATGGGCTGGCCGGCAACCATTTAAACCTAACAGCTGATGCACGGACCTGCCCCACTATTTGTTTTAAATGGCTGGCAGCCATTTCACCTGTCAGTTGTGCTTCCCCCCGCTTTGAAGTGAATGAGTTAAAAAGCTCACAGGTACTTAAACCTAACAGCTGATGGGCAGACCCCACGCCACAACTGTTATGTTTAAACAACTGAACCAAACAAAAGTCCAGTAAATGGTTGGGGAAGCTGCCTTCTCTGAACATTGGTTTGGGGGCTCTGACCTGGCCCAAGTTTGTGCCAAATTTTGGCTTGTGAGCCGGTTCGTGCCCATCCCTAATCTGAACTCTAGTACAACTGAGTTGGTCATATATTCACTGCACACACACACCAAATTCTTTAAAAGTTATCCAGCTCAGGTACTGAAGTGGACAAAGCAGAGGCTCAAATTCCCCCTCAACAATTACAATACTATGGTAGCCCCAATTGTCCCCCTGGAAATCCTGTTACTGAGGGAGATGCAGCCCCCCAAGAACAGGATTTGGGAGGCATTTCAGGCTGCTGTGGGAGGGGGGAGCTGAAGAAGTTGCCCTCTGCAGGCAGAAGTCCTTGTGCCCATGAAAACACTGTACAGGATCTCACCCAAAAATACACCCCCCATACAAACTACATCACAGGATTGTTGTGAAGCTAAAAGTAGGATATTGTCCACAGATGATTTTCCAGATTGCCTTTGAAGACGGGCAGGATGAGGAGGAGTGATTCCCCCAAAACAAACAATACGGGGAGCTATTATATTTTTGATTTGCATAGGTAAGACCTCAAGATTAGGAAGAGGAAATAATAAATACAGGTTGTACTATATTGTCAAAGCCAAGGCTAGTTCTGTGTTAACCTAGTTTATGTGATATTTAATTGAAGTCCAGTTGCTGTATTGTATTGAAATGATTAAAAAATTTAAAAAAGGGCAGGATGCAAAAGAGACTGACAGAGTCCACTCAGTCAAATGGACCCCACAGAATTACACTGTTGATATGGTTGAATATACAAAATTACTCTCTTAATTTTTCTGTCATTTCTTAGTACAAACTTAAGCAAACTGCCTGCAAACTAAGTGTTCTGCAGTGCCCTTGTTGCTGTAACTTACTCAACATTAAAATACTGCAGCCAAATACAGATGGAATTGGAACAGCATTTCCTGAATGCAATCAGCCTTCAAGATCACTAGCCAAACTGGCCTGGAGAATGGGCCATTGATACTTACCGTGAAGGGTCCTTCTCCTCTGAGATACAGAGGACATCTTGCTGGGTGTTTCCCACCCCTTTCCTTAGGGAGGCAGGAACTAAACTTCACTTCCTGTCCACTAGGTGGGATACGCCCCTCAGCTCCAGTTACGGGACTCCAATGAGCGGTAAAAAATAGTGTAAAAAACACTATAAACTGTAACAATTCAATAGAATAGGACCCAAAACGGGTCAACAGGTATGAAAATAGATAAGGACAGGAAGGACTACCCTGAGCCATACAGAATAAAAGTTAACAGAGAAACCAGATAAGACGATGAAAGGGAGGGCCCAAGATGTCCTCCGTATCTCAGAGGAGAAGGACTCTTCACGGTAAGTACCAATGGCCCGTTCTCCCTCTGAGCGGAGGACATCTTGCTGGGACCTCCTACAGCAGTGTCCATGTTACTTGGGTGGGTCATTGTCTTGGTCTGTCAGAATCCCCTGAAGAACTCTTCGACCGAAGGCAGCATCAGCAGAGTCGAAAACATTTATCTTATAGTGTCGGACAAAGGTAGACACTGATGACCACATGGCAGCCTTGCAAATCTCCTTCACTGAGACGTGGTTCGCCAGGGCCGTGTTGGTCGCTGCACTGCGTATGGAATGCGCTGCAATACCCAAAGAAGGTACCATCTCCTGTGCTCTATACGCCTCTGCAATGCAGTATTTGAGTGTGGAACTAATTGTGGACGTAGACATCTTGCAACCTTTGTTAGGGGGAGAAATCGAAATAAACAAGGATTCGGTGTTTCTGAAGGCACTAGTACGGTGTAGAAAAACCGTCAACGCCTGCCGGACATCGAGAGTGTGCCAGATTCGTTCCTGAGAGTGAAGAGGTTTTGGGCAGAAAGAGGGAAGGCAAATCTCCTGGGATCTATGGAACCTGGAGTTAACTTTGGGTTGGAAGGTAGGATCGGGCATTAGGATGACCTTAGGAAGGTACAAAGTCTTGGATTAGCGGAGAGTGCCCCCAGTTCTGATACTCGGCGAGCTGAGGTTACAGCCACCAAAAAGAGTATTTTCATCCTGAGCCACTTCAGAGAGATCTCCTTGATTGGCTCAAAAGGAGGCTTGGTCAGAGCGTTAAGGACCACATTTAGTCTCCATGTGGAGAACCTGTGAGAGATGGGCGGGTCCTTAAGTGACGCTCCCTTCAGAAAACGTTTGACATGAGGATGTCTAGAGAGGGCCCAGCCTTTTACCTGAGGTAAGACTATTGAAAGGGCCGCTACTTGCCTTCTAAGGGTAGATGCCTTCAGATCGGAATCGTGGCCATCCTGTAGGAAGGAGAGGACATTCCTGAAGTGTGGTTTGAGGGGATCAACAGATTTCCTCCTAGCCCAATGTACAAAGGCCTTCCAGGTGGTATTATATACCCTGCAGGTCGATTGTTTCCTAGGCGCCAATATCATGTCAGTCACTTTCTCTGGATAACCTAGTTTGAGGAGCTCGTCTGTTTCAATTGCCATGCGGTTAGATGAAGCCATTCGGGATCCGGGTGCCAAACCAGTCCCTGTGTTAGCATGTCTGGTGACACTGGCAGACGAAGATGAGGTAGGACCGATAGTGCTTGAAGGTCCGAGAACCACGATCTCCTGGGACAATAGGGGGCCACTAGAATGACCTCCGCCCTGTGTTCTCTTATCTTCCTCAGCAGTCTCGGGATGACCGGTGTCAGTGGATACGCAAACATCAGGCCCTGAGGCCAAGGAGACGTTAGGACATCTGTTCCCTCCGCACTGTGATGATGGAACCTGGTGAAGTATCGCTCCAACTGAAAGTTGTGTGGCGAAGCAAACAGGTTCACCTCCGGCAGACCGAATGAGTCCACTATTAGCCACTCCGCTTCCTGAAGATGGAACCGGCTGAGCCAATCCGCTTGAGAGTTCAGGGTCCCCTTTATGTGTTCTGCCCTGATGGAGGCTATGTTGGACTCCGCCCAGAGGAAAAGTTTGGTTGCCTCCTGACTTAGACGTGGAGATTGCGAACCTCCCTGGTTGTTTATATATGACTTTGTTGCGATGTTGTCCGTTCTGATCAGGACATGACAACCTGCTATTTGAGGTCGAAAATGCAGAAGAGCCAATCTGATGGCTCTCAGTTCCAACACATTTATAGGAAGTTTGCTGTCCTCTTTGGACCATAGACCCTGAGTCAGACGGTTGAGGTATATTGCACCCCAACCCTGTGACAATTTGTTCCCATTCCGCTACATAACATGCACGGCCTCGGAGAAGATGGTGAGCGTTGGTCCACCATAAGAGACTGGACTTCACCTTGGAGGGTAGATACAGAAGAACATCGTGGCGTTTCATGATTCTGGTCTGGAAAGGTCTCAAGAACCGCTGGAGCGGCCTCGCATGAAGGCGGGCCCACGGAACAGTGTCTATACACGAGATGAATAGGCCCATCAACTTCGCCAGGGTCATAAGAAGGGATTTTCTGATCCGGAAGGGATAAGAAGGGATTTTTCTGCCTTGGGGTTCTTGACGTCTCTGCCGGACTTGTCATCCCTGGGGGCGAAAGATCTGCCTGGTCTGTTGAAGAAGGCATTTCTTCTGAAAGTCTGCCTGGAAGGTCCCCAAGAAGGGCGTCTGCCTTCTCTGCTGAATCTGTAAGCTGATCTTTGACCTCGAAAGGAAAAATTAGTCGGCCCCCTCCGGTCTGCTCTGCCTAAGGATCTGGGCATTGCTTTCTTTTTGTCCTTTGTTTCAACAAGGATCTTGTCT